TGCAAAAGCGTTTATAGCTTAATATTTAGTTTCTGTTTCTGCTTAGTTTAGTCAATTCTGTAGTTATTTTTAATTTGCAAATGCGTTTATACCTGAATATTTAGTTTTTTTATGCTTTGTTTAGTCAATTCAAGTTTAGTTAGTTAGTTAATTTAGTTTAGTTAATTATTCTTTACAAAGGCAGAATGGTACGTACTGCAGCCGACAAAATAGCAGCTGTGATAATTGGTGAATGTGAAAATAATTTCCATGCAGCGGAACGTCTTTTTATTGAGAGGTACCCCGATCGCCCTATATCGAGATCTTATTTGAGAAAGCTTCTTTCTCAAATAAGAAAAAAATAAGACTTTTTATTGTATTGTAATTTATCGCTTTTAAACAAAGTAAAGTTACTGTGAGTGAGGTGTATCAAGAATAAATGATCTAATTTTCGTCGGAATTCTCAAGGATTCATTACATATCATCGTCTTACTCCTGTGACCTTAACAATAACGGTCATCATAGCATCAAATCAAATCGTAGCTGTCAACACCAGAAGTATCGAAAGTCACCAGTTCAAAGTAAGTCATTCGAACCACTTAATTAATACATTCTTTTTGCTGTATTCCTTTTACTACTCATAAAAATTATTATGCTCTCTATTTCAAGTTTACTCAAAATTAATTAGTAGGAATTTGACAAACTGATCACATAATGTTTATTACTACCGTTTTGTCATAGCAAATTTTAGTTTTTTGGTTGTTTGTTTTTATTTGTATATTATAAAGATTTAAAATGACTGAAGACCAATTTCAAACGCAGTAATGCCAAACGATCTTTAACGACATATGAAAATTTTTTAAATAAATACAATCCTGAAACAAATTTTTTAAGCCTAGAAAAACGGTATTAGGACATAGAAAAGTTTCGGGAAAATTTTGAAATCGTTCAAACGGAATTAAAAATATTACTTAAGGAATCGGATGAACTTACTAATTATCGTATAGAATTTGAGGAACAATATGTTAAAACATACGCAATGATCACACAGTTTTTGTCGGGTCGGATTACAGATTAAAATCGTCAACTGTGGATGATACACCACCAGAACCAATATTTTCTAGCTTTCCTAAATCGTCGTCGTCGGCAGAAATTTAATCTGCAAACAATATTGCATTAAATTTGGAATTTTGCAACACATTTCCCGGCAGCATCCTTCCAAGTGTTCCTCTATCTAGGTTTACTGGGGCCATAGACACGTGGCTAGGCTTTTTTGATGTATTTAATTCATTAGTTTATGAAGATAATAGCATTTCTCCCGTGAGCAAACTATTTTATTTGAAAAGTTGTTTAGAACGAGAAGCTGCTATCATAATATCTTCTATCGAATCTTCTGCTCAAAATTATGATGTCGCGTGGAATTTGTTACAAGAGCGCTATGATGATCGAAAATTCATTCGAGATAGTTAGATCAAATCGGTAATTGACACGTCGTACATGTTCAAAGAATTTTCAACTCGCGATTTCTTGTATCATATTCAAAAATATTTAAGAGCGTTAAAAAATATTGGTTAACACATCGACACGTGGAATTCGTTTCTCGTCATTTAATTCAAAGACAAATTCAACAATAGCCTCCGCGAACGATGGGAGGATAGTACTACTGAATAGCGTAATCCAACAATGAAACAAATGATATCGTTTTTAAATAGAAAAGCTCAACTTGAAAACATGCAATCTCAGCAAGCTACTATCAAAAATCCTCCACCGAATAAATCAAAATCGTCGAATATATCTCTGCTTTCGCGAAATCATCAAACTTATACTGCAACTACTTCACAAAATAGTTGTATTTTTTGTGAAGGTGAGCATTATGTAAATTCCTGCCGTGAATTTACATCGTTATCGCCTTTTGAATGTTACGACTTTGATAAAAAAGGTGAACATTTTGTTAGAATTTTTAATGGATAATGTAACTTTGGATCCCAACTACGACCGCGATGACGATACGGACGAAAAAAGTGGTAATATTCCATTTTTTGGATAATGTTCCCCTTAATGTATGCGAAGCAAATTTTAATTATTGAAGAAACTATAAATTGATTTGTCTAAATTTTGCCGACATAAAAAGTGGAAATTCTTGCCTGTTTTCTGTGTCTCCTGAGTAAAGAAACTCTAAATAAATTTAACGTTTTTGTAAAAATTTACACAAAGACGTCAACAGTATAACTAATTCAACTGCAGATTAAGAAACTATTACTATGGTAAAAACTTTAACAAAAAAATTTATATAACATCTCCCAAAGGATGTCTACCTGTTTCAGCATGCTTATAGTGATGCAATTCCAAATGATCTAAACGATCAATTCGTATTATTTAAGGATTTAAGGATATAAAAAATCTTTGTTCAGATGAAAGAAGGTTGGTAAAGGTTCAAACAGTAGCCATACACCAAAATTTTAAAAAACTATCAACAAAAATAGTTTAGTAGTTAATAGTTCTCTTGGCCGGTCGCGGCCGCTAATACTTGTAAGGCAAGCGCGACGGGGCAGAAGAGAAAATGCTAAGCAGGGTGAGCGGAACTGGGCCCGGACTTTGCACACTTAGACCCATTTCTGGCCATCCACCTATCTTATTATCTTATTTCATTCACTATTCTTATGTTGATTGCCCTTTGATGACTTTGGTTCTTGACATTTTACTTTGCTTACCATGTCCAACAACGGGGGGCGGCGCGTTGCCGTGTATCAGTGTCATAAAACGACAATACCGCTCAGAGGAGTAAACCCCTATAAAAATCCGCAACCACACGGTGTCAGGTGATCGGTGCCCAAGTGGTGAATGGCCAAGCGTAAGATGGCCGCAAACGGAGCCTTCGGAGAACTGGCGAACCTCCGCTGTATTTTAAGCCTTAGCGTGGGTAAGGGCGCACTGCCTCGCCTTCTTCTTCAAGTGCCGTCTTCGTTCCGAAGTTTGGCTATTATCAAAGCTATGCGTATTTTTGATGCTGCAGATCTAAACAGTTGGTAATTGGTGCAATTGTACCATTCTCTCAAGTTTTTCAACCATGAATGCCTTCTTCTTCCTATAGATCTCTTTCCCATTATCTTTCCCTGTATAATCAATTGCAGCAACTGGTATTTATCTCCCCTCATAACATGTCCCAAATATTGTAGTTTGCGCTTTTTAACAGTAAGTATCAGCTCTTTCTCTTTCCGCACTCTCTATCTTCTTGCTTCTGTCTTTTTGGTATCGATCTTTTTCAATGTCCATGTTTTCATCCCGTAGAGGAGAACTGACATAACGTAACATCTCAAAAGGCGAATTTTAAGTTTTAGACTTAGATCTCTTCCGCAGAACACCTTTTTCAATTTAGTAAATGTGGCTCTAGCTTTCTCTATTCTGGTTCTGATTTCTTCAGAGCAATCATTATTTTCGTTGATAACAGTTCCCAGGTAATTATATCTTCTTACACGTTCGATTCTTTAATCATGCACGGTTATGTCAGGGAAGTTTTGTGGTGATTTAGATATTAGCATTATTTTTGTTTTGCTTATGTTAAGTGATAATCCGTGTTTTTCACTGCATTCTACTATTTTGTTAATTAGTATTTGAAGATCTTCCCAAGTTTCTGCGATTAGTACCGTGTCATCGGCATATCTCAAGTTGTTTATTCGGATGCCATTTATCTTAATACCTATATTTTGATCCGAAAGTGTTGTGTTTATAATGTCTTCGGAGTATAGATTGAATAAGGTCGGTGAGAGTATACAACCCTGTCTTACGCCTTTCTTGATCTCGATTTCCTCCGTTGTCTCTTGCTCTATTCGGATATTTGCTTTCTGGTTATAGTAAATCTTAGAGATAATTCTAATGTCCCTTTTATCCAAGTTCTTTTCTACTAGCAGTTTCATTAAGTGATCGTGACGAACTTTATCAAACGCTTTGTTGTAATCAATGAAGCACACATATATATATATATATATATATATATATATATATATATATATATATATATATATATATATATATATGTATCTTGGTTTATATCTAGACATCTTTGGCATATGACGTTAAGTGCAAATGCTCACCGGACAATACAATTTCGTCCTTATTAGTGGGAATTATATGGATAAGTAATTAATCAAGCAAAAAAAAACTCAAACAGAACAAAGAAACTATGTAACAAATTGGAACAGTTATGAATGCGATGATATGGTGTACAATAGCAGTGAAGGGAACATAGAAAAAGTCCTCAGTGAAGAAGAAAATAGGAAGGAGAAGATGATGTTCGGAAAAAGAGGATTTGTTGGAAGGTCTCCAGTCAGGGGTCGGGACCTTGCCAACAAGGATCTTCCAAGTGAGGCAGCCTTACAAAGGAGCTTCTCACTTGGAAAGAAAAGACCTGCGGAGAAGAAGGAGAGCTTTGACATAACGCCTATGGTAAGAGCAATGGAGAAACTTACCAGAGGTACAAATAATTTTTTGAAACTAATGCCCGACCATACAAACACGAAGGTTGTGATTAAAAATGAAATACAAAAAGAGAGTCACCGAAGACATGGAAGGCACTTTCAGAAAAGTCGCATTAGATAGCGTCGAGAAAAAATACCGGTGATGAGGTTACGATAAAAGAGACTGCAAGCGTGTTGACACTGGAGAACTTTGAAGAGTTCCTCCCCGAAAAAATTAAGGAAAAAAAGATAGAAATGATCAGAAAGTTATTGAACTCAGGGGAAAACATTTTGAAAAAATAGAGGAAATCCTAGAAATGCCCTAGCAGGCGACTTGATAGTGGTTATGGAACCTGGACTTTTCGGTGAAGGGGAAAGGTTCCACAACCTGATAAAGAAAAAAACAGATTTAGCAATATGTACTGAAGGTACATATAGATCAGGACAAGTGAAATACTTCCAACGTAATACTATAACCACAATTACAAGAAAGGGCCATGAGGAAGAGAACCAAGGAAGCGCCGTCAGACTATTTTTATGGTCCCTGTGGAAAAAGGGAAGACGGAAATGGACGGGGACAAGAGACTACTGGCAATTCTGTCTAAATTGAGGGAAGACATAGAGATTGTAGGGACCAGAGAGGCATCCCTAAAAGTACTGGAAGGCTACAGAGGTAGGAACCTCAGAAAGCTCATTGAATCCACCTTTAGAGGTATGGACCTCAACCTCGTGTTGGAGTATCAACAAGAAGAAATTAGGGCAGGGACGCAGAAGGTTGTCGTGAAGGGAGGCAGAAAATCTTATTATGAGTTGCTGAAACAAGTAAAGGGTAGCGTAGACACGAAGAAGGAGGGAATTATTGCTAAAAGCGCTAAAAACACCAGAGGCGAAGATCTCATCCTTAATGTAGCAGGAAAAAAACAGAAAAATACCGTAGAAGACGCCTAGGGTTATCAGGTACAGGTTAAGATATTTGGCATAGACGAGATGTCACAAAGGAAGAAATTCTGAAGCAGGTCCGGAGATCTAATGACGTCAAACTCGTCTCTATAAGGGAAAATAAAAACGGGAACACTAACGTCAAGGTCGGACTGACGCGGATAGTAGCCAAGAAAGCATTGGAGAAAGAACAAATACCCATCGGCTGAAACTCGTGCAAGATACGAGAGAGATTACACATCCAGCGATGCTTTAGATACCTGCAGTTCGGGCATAGCAAAAACGAATGCAAGGGAGAAAATAAAGTGGACTGCTACTACAAATGTGGCAAAGAGGGTCATCAGGCACGATAATGCAGTAATTCGGAGACTTTTTGCCTCACTTGTAAAGAAACCGGGCACAACACCGATAGCTTACGATGCCCGGAGTATAGAAAAATGATATTGGAAAAAAGGAAAGTCAAAAGAGACCCTATCAAAAGGAAGGAGAAATGAGTGGGTGAAAGCACTTAGAACAAGGAATCAGACAGCGTACGGGTAAGTTAAAGAGATTAGATCCATTTATTACTAAGTTTCTACAAATAAATGTGCGAAAGTCGAGGGCTGCTCACGATGTTGCAGAGGCACTTGCACGAAGGGAGGTTATGACATGATTTTATTTCAGGAGCCCAACGTAAAGTTGGTCTCTAGACAGGGGATCATTAAAGATAGGAAATCTGACGTGGCCGTGTACGTAATGAATCGAGTAGACATTACCAGACACTTTATTAAGAATGGTTATGTTAAGGTATATGTCGGAAACCTGGTAGTATATAATTGCTATGTTTCACCAAATATCCCACTTCGAGTATATGAAGAGTACATTGACTCGATTATGCAAGAGGCTAGGATGGAGACTGTACCGGTCGTCATAACTGATGACCTGAATGCAAAGAATCGTCCATGGAACCCACGAGTACAAGATGGGAGAGGGAAATATCTATCAAAATGGATCATACTGGCTTCAACCAAATTTCTAAAGGGTCATAAGCTGGACTGTTTTTGAAGAAGAATCGCTTAGCTTACACAAGTATGTGAGTTTTGAAATAGCTAGCAAAAGACAGAAACGTAAAAATGGGGATATTATTCTAAAAGGATGTTTAAATGAGGAGGTTTTTGTAAATGCTTTTGACTTGATTGGTCCGGGATGTGAGGATGTATGTGAGTTAATTGATCTGAGTGATGCACAGAAGTTGGCTTGTGTAAGATCAAATGGGAGGTATGAAAGAAAACAATCATACTGGTGAAACCATGAGAGTAAGAAGGGGTGTAAGAGGTTATTAAGAGTACAAGCATTAGATTTGGAAGAGAAAATAAATGAATTGAAGCGAATGCAGGATGAATACAGGAATGATTTAAGAACATATAAGAAAGAAAGGTGAAGTAACCTGCTTCAGGATCTCGAAAGGATTATCTGGAGGCAAGGCTTCAAGATTGTCTGCACCGAATTGAAAGGGAAAAAAGACACCCTACCCCCTGCCTGAGGAGGAGAAACCGTTTAATATAGCTATAGAAAGGTTATTGGTTTCGTATATGCGGAACCTTTCACTGAGTTGGAACTCGACGAGGCTGTTGGAAGGATGAAGATCCGAAAAGCACCTGGCATAGATGGGGTCATGCCGGAGACAGTAAGACTCGCCGCACTCAAATACCCGAAGGTTTTTCGGAGATTGCTAAACAAACTGCTTGAACAACAGCAGTTTCTAGCAATGTTTAAAGAAGCTAAGATCGTCCTTATACCGAAAGGTAAAGGTCAAGAGGAAGAGGTACGATTTCGTCCAATTTGCTTTCTTAGTCCGATAGCTAAATTATACGAACAGCATATAAAAGGCCGCTTTGAGCGAGAGCTTAACCATTTATAGGTCTGTGGTCGATATTTCGACCACTGCTCTTATTAATACTTATGAGCTAGTAATTGACATGAAAAGTTACCGAAGTGCAAATTCAGTGTTTGTAAATTAATTGTACCCAAAATGAACACCACAGAACAAAATACGGCAACGTGGCAGCAATGTGGTCGATTCGCTAACCACAACCCATCATACTCTGTAAGTTACCGTTGAACGTGATCACAGGTTTTTGCCGTTTGTAAAAGTTAGAAAAATAATTTACAAAAATTTATACATCAAACTCAAGGTAACACATTACAGTATTATGGTCTTTTATTATCTATTCAGATTTTATTGGCGCTAAGATGATATGTCTTGATTTACTAAACATAACCTCAAAGTAGCACATGCTGATTTTACAATTGTTCTATTGAAATGTATTTTCACTCTTTTTTATTTTAAATCTATACAATTATATTCTTTTTTTACGTAAATCTGACTTACTTGAATAATATTTCCAAGAATTAAATTGCTGTGCGGTAGATCAAGTAATTAAATTTTTCAAGTATTTGTATACAACAATGTACGTATCTTTTGCAGTAAAATGGAACACCGCAATATACTTAAAAATTTACAAAATATGACTCAGATATTCCATAATATGACCCATAAATTCAGATTTTGAGGGTGATTCTGATGCAGAAGATAATCTTCCCATTTCCAACCGAACGTCGGTTGCATCCAACGCGACTATTACTTCGTTGTCTAATGATGACAAGGTTGAATTTCTTGATGTTGATTCAGATGACTCAATGGATGATATAGCTTTCCACCCTCAGGTAAGAACAAATCGCATTTTTGACGACGTCGATACTTCCTCAGGCGAAGACGAAATAGAAGAGAACCAAGAGAACACAGTAAAGTGCGATGATATATATAAATGGAGAAAGAACTCTTCTGATGCACAAAAATATTCGAATGCGCCGTTTGGCCATTTGGCCCAGCAAAACCGGTCAATATAAATTCACCATTCGACGTGTTTTCTTTGTTCATGAGCAAAGATATTATAGCTAATATAATTACACAGTCAAATCTCTATGCTCAACAACAAAATCATAATAATCTCGACCTAACTGAGGAAGAACTGAAAGCATTTCTAGGGGTTCTTATAATCATGGGGATTCATAAACTACCTAGTTTGAGACATTATTGGTCAACTGATATTAACATGCACGTGCCAAAGTTTCGCAAATTTTTACGCAAAAACGATTCTTAAAAATTCTTCGTTTTCTCCATCTAAACAATAACGAAAACATGGAAAGAAATCAAAATAACCCCAATTTTGACAAACTGTTCAAAGTAAGGCCTTTGATAACAGAACTGCAGCAACGCTTTCAAGAGAACTTTTATACAAGTAGAAATGTTGCGGTAGATGAAAGTATGGTTACTTTCAAGGGGCGAAGTTCTCTAACAATATATGCCGAAAAAGCCCATAAAAAGAGGCTTTAAAGTTTGGGTCGTTGCATGCTCTGAAACTGGATACGTGCACAAATTTAGCATATATGAAGGCAAATCTCAATCACAACATGCTGAATATGGTTTAGGCGCTAAAACGGTATTAGACATTACCGAGTCTCTTAGAGGCGCAAACTACTGCATTTATTTCGATAATTTTTTCTCAAGTTTTCCTCTTCTTAAGAAAATGTTAACCTATGATTTGCTCTGCTGTGGAACTTTTAGAATAAATTGTAAAGGCTTTCCAACACAAATGAGAAAGGACAAAATAATGAAAATGGGAGAACACGATTATTTCATGTCCAATAATCTGTTGTTAAATGGAAAGATCGGAGGCGCAAATGCGTTTTAGTCGGCAGTACTATGCATAATGCACTTGAGATTACTTCAGTTTTGCGAAGAAAACCGAATGGTGAACAAGAAAGTATTAAGTGTCCAAAAGCCATAAGTGATTACAATCGCTATATGGGTGGAGTCGATCTATTCGATCAACTTCATGCTTCTTATCCAATTTCATGGAAATCCCGAAGATGGTATATGAAGATTATTTACTATTTGATTGATGCAGCAGTGGTAAATTCATATATAACTTATAAGACTACAATGAAAATGAGGTCCATTAAATCGAAACCAATTAGTCACCTGTATTTTAGAAGTGTATTGGCCAACGAGCTCATAGGTGATTTCTATAACAGAAAGAGACCAGGATATAAGGTAACAATAGCAAGAAATAAACTGAAGAAAATGGGTGCAACCACTAATTCTGTTGAAAGCACGGTGAGACTAAGCGATGTTGGCAATCATATGCCAGAAAAAGGAACATCAAGACGTTGTGCACTCTGTTCAACGAGAGCAAAGCCAAAACGTTCAAGTATTAAATGCTCAGATTGCCAGGTTGCATTATGTATTCAATGTTTTCCATTATTTCATAATAAAAATGTTTAATTAATGTGTTTTTTTCTGTGGTCGATTATGGAACCACAACTACATTTACCAAAGTCAACATACCTAATCAGGCTGTGGTCGAAATTTCAACCACCTAAAAAAAAAACAAGGAGTGAAAATAAAATGAAAATACGAATGAAAGTTCAATAACGGATTATTCCTTATCTATAATCTGCAAATAATTTATTTATATTACCAAAAAATAATTCTGCCCTATAAAGGGTTAAAGAAAAGCAAGCGCTGAGCAATCGCCAATATGATTTTAGGGATAAAAGTTCCACGATAGATACGGTCACAGAAGTAACCTATTTAGTTACGCAGGATACTAAGATATGGGTGACTCTCATCCTGCTCGATGTCAAGAATGCCTTTAATACGGCATCATAGGAAAAAATCATGTCCAGGCTTAGAGAATTGGTCGTTATTATACTGTTAATAGAACAGAATAGGTAAATCTGCCTCGGCAGACTCTACATTTTGTGCGGTACCTGATGCTCCTGCCCACATTTTTAACTGCAAGAGATGGGCAAATGAGATGGGAAATTTCGAGAGGCGAATCGGTTTCGGGCTGGATGAAAGAAACATTGTAAACATAATGTTGAGATGGTTTCAATTTCCACTTCGGAAATCGTTCTCAAAATACAAACAGTAAATAACTGTTTGTATTTTGAGAACGATTTCC